TTGCAGATTGATCTACCATATGACCCAGCTATTTCACTGCTGGGAATATATCCAAAGGAATGGAAATCATCAAGTCGAAGGTATACCTGTTCCCCAGTGTTCATTGCAGCACTCTTTACAATAGCCAAGAGTTGGATCCAGCCCAAATGTCCATCATCAGAGGAGTGGATACAGAAATTGTGGTATATCTACATGATGGAATACTACTCAGCTATAAAAACGAATGAAATACTGCCATTTGCAACAACATGGATGGACCTTGAGAGAATTATATTAAGTGAAACGAGTCAGGCACAGAAAGAGAAATACCACATGTTCTCACTTATTGGTGGGAGCTAAAAATAAATAAATAAATTCACACACACACACACACACACACACACACACACACACACACAAGTTCGGGGGGGGAGAAGACTTAACAACTACAAGTCCTTGAAGTTGATACAACAAGCAAACAGAGAGGACACTGTTGGGTGGGAGGAGGGAGAGGGAGGAGGGAAGGGGGAGAGGGAGGAGGGAAGGGGGAGAGGGAGGAGGGAGGGGGGTTTTGGTAATGGGCCACAATAATCAACCTCATTGTATATCGACAAAATAAAATTTAAAAAAAAAAAAAGAAAGAAAATGGCTATAGGAATGTTTAAGTTTTTCAAATAATAAAATATCCTTTTCTCCACCCTAAATAAAGATAGCTTCCTCCAAGTTCCTCATTTAACCTGACTTCCTCTGCTTCTCAAAAACAATTACAATAAAGGAAACTTTAGTTCTCCACCCTAGACACCCACTTCTGTTCTAAAATATTTGGTTCTGCATCCAAGGCTGTTCACAGCATCTTTGAAACATGTTCTTTCAACTCATTCTCAAATCAACTTGTATTCTATTTCCAATTTCTGGTATATGGAACACCACTTGATAATTCATTACTTGTGAAAGCTTTCGTTTTGTGCAGTGACATTTTGGTGGTCTTCTATTCTCATAAAAATAGAGTCTCCTGTACATTTCTCATTGTGGTTTTTTTCTGAATGATTTCCACTAAGAAAGCAGAAAAATGCTAACTTTGAACTCCACTCTCAAACAACAACCTTATCCCCTCAACATGGAACCTTTAGTTCACTTGGACTTGGCACCCAGAATCTCCTGGTTTTCCTTCAAAGTCAATGACCACCCTTTCCATTCTTCCATGCTGGGAGGGTTCTTCTCACCTTCTTAATTTCTGATGTGGTGGTAGAAGGCTCACTGCTGTACCTCTTTTCCTATTTGCTTACCAACTTGCTATGTGATACCCTGCACTACTTAGAGACTTTATGAAGAATCCCCACTAGAACAAAGTCCCTCAACAGATGCAACCCCTTGAACTTGGAACGATGAGCCTACACAACAGACTTGTAGGAAAAAGATTTATAAATTACCCAGTTGCAGCTATTCTGTTACAAGCAACAGAAAACAAACAGATACAGTATGAAAAAAATTTTTACATGAGAACTAAGGACACAAGTACAACTGAAAATGATAAGAAAGCAAATAAGAAAAATAAATGTCAAGGAAGAGAAATGTATGAATTAGATTTTGGGCACATATAACACATATTTAGAAAAATAAAATATTGGGATGTACATGGGACACCCCACCTTGAAGATTATGTAACACAGGCTTGCAGATGAGCCATCCTTCAGGTCTGGGACTTGGGGGAAAAATTGCTAGAAATGGCTGAATAATGAAAATATAAAGGGATTTGCTTTTCTTGCCTTCTGCCCAGTATTTGTTAATTAACCTTGCAGGATCTGGTTTGGGCATTCTTCCATTGTCTGTGGCTCTCCTTCTTGTTCTAACTTGACAATCACCTCAGCTTTGTTAATGCAGTGTTCTGTTAATGGGAAGTAGTGTAGGATTTCTGAAACTGCTAAGTCTGTTCCTTGGAAGAATGGCAAGAGCTCAGTTACAGATGTGCAATAAAGAGGGCAATTAGAACCTCATCAGAAAGAGAGATAGCACATTTTCAAGAAATGTAATCTTACCATGAAACCCTATAAATGGTTCCTATATTTATGAACTAAAAAGAAACTCTTTCTCCTGAAAGTTACTGGGCAGTTTTACTCACTCAGTGACACCAGGTTGCTATAGGTCTCCAGCATCACATCCCTGTACAAAGTCCTCTGAGCATCATTCAGGTCCTGCCACTCCTCCCAGGTGAAGTCCACAGCCACATCCTCAAATGACACCAACTCCTGTAATGACACATTGTTCTCAACTCAAGTCAACATCTCTGGGTCACAAAACAGAACTATGGGAATCCACACCTGTGTGTGTGCATGTGTCATGTATGTGTTATATAAGATGCCACTTTTTTGTATAGAATGGGAGGAAGAAAAATCAAAGGACAAATATCCTGCCACTGTAAAAAGTTATTAACTACTAAAAATTATATTATAAAACTTAGTTTATACCTTCAGAAATATCCTTGCTGTGATAAAAGTGTGAATAAAAAATTTCCAAGGACATAATAAACAGGCTTGAAGACATAAATATGAATACATACCTGAAATACTCTGTTAGATGAACAAATTTAAACACACATTCAACACAGACTGGGGTAAAAAAGAAATCAAATATATAGTTTTATTCTGTATTCAGTTTGCACTTCACTGAAATGCCAAGGATGTTAAACTGTTCCATGTGAACTACATGGTCTCAAGAACATGAGGCAACAGCAAAGGACCAGCCACAAGAACACAGTACCGTGTCTAAGTGAATGACCTTGGGCAGCATAAGGGAAAAACAAAATATCGAAGCAAATGATTATACAATGATTCTGCACTTAAATATGTGACATTTTTCAAACAGTAAAACATTTCATGTAGTTATTGTTTTTTAATAACTTATGAATTAACAGTACGTTAAAAAGCCATTCCAAAATTTCCTTCCTATGTGCCAAAGGATTGCTTGTGTCCACACCAGGGTATACACTGCAACTTCCTAGACCACAGGTAGCAAATAATGTGGTCCTTTAAGTACATAACCTTATTTACATTTCAATAGTAATCCACTACAAGGAGAATGGAAAAGGCTTTTAGGGAGACTCAGAGGAAAAGAAAACAGGGTGACAGAAGACCAACTACATTACAACATGGAGAAGTAAGCACACAGAAGAGAGAGACCTTACACTATAAAAAAGAAATAGGGAATGAAAAAGCAGAAACAGAATGTGGTAGTAATTTGCTGTGCAGAAATTAAAAAGAAGAGTTTTACTCTCAGGCTATATACATAAGCACAGCTAGTTAGGTCCTGGCACTGCAAAGCAAAGTTTCAAAAATGGGAAAAAAATATAAAGAGCAAAGTGAAACAGACTTGAATACATAATAGTTGAAATATCCATGGAAATGTCCAAGTGTCAATTTAATATATGGTTCCAGCATTCAAGAGAGAAAGTTAAGATGACAATAAAGATTTGAAAAGTATCAAAATTTCCATATTATTTGAAGACATCAGAGTGAATGATTCTAAGAGGTAGAAAGTCAAAAAGAACAAGTACAGAATCTGCAGAAACACTTTATTTTTAAACATAAGATAGAGGAGAAGAAAAAGAGGCATTACATCATAATATAGGAGTTAGTTCTCCCAGAGGACAATTCTTAATGTGTATGTGCCTTACAACAGTTCATCAAACTATGTGACACCAAACCTAATAGAACTTCAAGGAGAAATAATAGAATCCACTATCATAACTGGACAGTTCAACACCCTCTATCACAAATGAATGAATACAGCAGACAGAGAACCATAAAAGATATAATTAAACTCAATAAAATAATCTGGATATAACAGATATCTACAGACTACTTCTCCCAACAACAACAGAATATTCTTCTCAAACTCACATATAAAAATATCACTAAGACCATATGCAGAGCCATATAACACAATTTAACAAAATTAAAATAATAGAAATCACACAATATGTGCTCTCATACAACAAAAGAATTAAACTAGAAATCAGAAACAGCAATGACTACAATGTACCCAAATAGAGTGGGATTAAACAACACACTCTAATACATGGGCTAAAAAAAAGAAAAAATATTTTTAAGTAAATGAAAGCAAAAATGTGGCTTACCAGTTAGCTCACTTGGTTACAGCACAGCCTTGTAATGCCAAGTTCAAGTATTTTGATTCCCATACTGGCCAGCCACCAGAAGAAAAAAAAATGTGAAAATGACACCAAAAGTTGTAGGATACAGAAATAACAGTGTTCTCAAAAACTTTTATAGCACTGAATGCATACATTAAAAAAAAAATCTAAAATCAATAGTCTAGGTTCCCATGTTTGGAAACTAGGGGTTGGACAGGGAAGAGCTAATTACATTGAAAGGAAGGAGAAAAGAAATAAAACCTAGAACAGAAATAAAATTGAAAAAGAAAATCTGGAGAAAAAATAAACATCTAAAAAGCTGATTCTTTAAAAAAATCAATAAAATCGATAAGCCAATAGCCAGGCTAACTAAAAACATAAAAACATAATGAACAAAAGACAGAAATTATTAATATCAGAAATGAAAGACAGGACATCACTACAGATCCTATGGCATTAAACAAATAATACTATGAACAACTCTGCACATATTTGACTTCATACATGAAATGGACCAATTCCTCAAAAGACTCAGTTTTCCAAAACTCACAGAAAAATACACAATGTGAATAGGCCTGTATTTATTATAAAAATTGTAAAAACAAATAATAATATTCAAAACAGAAAACACCTGGCCCAGAAGTGTTCACAGGAGAACTGAAACCATCAATTAAGGAAGAAAATAGACCAACTTCCCATAATCCATTGCAGAGAATAGATGAAATACTTCCCAACTCATTGTATGAGGACAGCATTACCTCTGTAGAAAAACCAGATAAAGATATTATGAGAACAGAAAACTACAAACTGTTATCTCTCATGAACATACATGCAAATAAGCTCAATAAAATATTAGCAAACCTAATCCAATAATGTCTAAAGAGGATTATTCACCATGACCAAGTGGTATTTATCCCACTTAGGCAAGGTTCAAGATATGAACATCAATTTATGTAATCGATAACATGAAAATATTAATAAGAAAATCACATGATCACATCAATAGATGCAGAAAAGCATTTGAAAAAACACAGCGTCCATTTATCATAAAAATTCTCAAGAACCACTTAGGCAAGGTTCAAGATATGAACATCAATTTATGTAATTGATAACATGAAAATATTAATAAGAAAATCACATGATCACATCAATAGATGCAGAAAAGCATTTGAAAAAACACAGCATCCATTTATCATAAAAATTCTCAATAATCTAGGAATAGAGGGGACCATCACAACTTGATAAAGATTATCTACAGGAAACTGCAGCTAACATCATCCATAATAGTGAGAAACTCAAAGCTTTCCCAGATAATCAGGAACAAAGCAAGAATGTGCCCTCTCATCACTCCTTCAACATCACACTAAAAGTACTGAGTAATGCAGTAACACAATGAAATAAAAGATTTACAGATTGGGAAATAAATAAATAAAATTGTCTTTAGTTGCAGATGATATGATTATCTCTGTAAAACATCCTAGCAAGTAAATAGAAAGCCTCCTGGAATTAATAACTGATTACAGCAAGAGTGCACGGTACTACATTAGTATGTAAAAGGCAATCACTTTTCTATGCGCCTGCAATGACCATGTAAAACTTAAAACAAAAAACACAATACTATTTACATTAGCAACTCAAAAAGAGAAAAGAAAGTAGAAAATCATCTACCTCATAAGAAATTAACACCAAGAATATATTAAAAAAACACCTATAACTAAACAACAAAACAAATAGTCTGATTCAAAATAAGCAAAGGGTTTCAACAGACATTTCTACAAAGATGATATACCAATGTAAAACAAGCTCATGTAAAGGTGCTTAACATCATTAATCATTAGAGAAATGCAAAACCACAATGAAATATCATTTCACACACAATAGAATATAACAATGATTGGCAAAATTGGAAACTTTGTACACTTTATGTAACTATGTAAAGTGATGCAGCCCCTATTTTTAAAAAGTACAGTGACTTCTCAAAAAATTAAAAATTGCCATAGGATTCATAAACCCATGTTTTGGGTATACATCCAAAATAATTAATAGCAAAATCTCATAAAGATATTTCCATACCTGTGCTCATAGCAGCATTACTCAGAGAGTTAAGAGGTGAAAGCAACCCAAATGTTCAGCCATGAATGAATAGATAAAATGTGGTATACACATATAAAGAAATAATATCCAACCTTTAGAAGAAAGGAAATCTTCACATATGCTATAACATGGAACCTTGAGGACTCGTGCAAAGTGAAATAAGGCACTCACAAAATGACAAGTATTGTGTGGTCTCACTGAGAAGAGTCAAATTTTTAGAAACTCAAAGTAGAATGGTGGTTTTCAGAGGCTAGGAGAAGGGGGAAATTATGAGTTGTCATTTAATGGACATAGTGTTTCAATTTTTCAAGATAAAAAGTTGTGAATATCTCCTGCACAATAGTGTTAATACACTTAACACTGTGTAAAGTTTAAGAAATGATTCAAATGGTAAATTTTATGCTATATGCTTTTTACCAAAATTAAAAGTAAATTATTTTAAAAGCCAATATATGAATCAAAGTAAAATATTTTAAAAAAAATTAATTGATAAAAAGTTAGAAAATAAAAAGCAGAGGACTAAAAGGCAGATGAGGCAAATACAAATAGAAAATAGCAAAATGGCACACTTAAATTAAAGCTTACTGCATTAAATATTCTACTCAAGGCAAAGACTGTCAAATTTGATAGGAAAGTAAGACCCAACAAAGTTGTCCAGAGAAGTACAGTTTAAATACAAAGAAACAGACTAACAGTAAAATAATGAAAACGTATCTACCATAGCAACACAAATTATGAAAAGCTTTAGTGCAAATACTGACCAGGAAAAGAATCTTCAAGACAAATTGTATTACTAAAAATAAATGGAACAGATGGATGTGGGCCACACTATCACCTCCCATGACATGGAAAATGGAAATGGTGTCTCACCATCTCAGGGTCTGCCAAAGGCAACTTTTGGGCACAATGGGAAAAGTGCTACCTGGCCTCCTCTCTCTGTCACTGAGAAAATAAAAGAAGGATGTTTAATTTTCAGACAGAATTTAAGGAAAATATGAAGGAGTCAGAACTTGCTGAGTTTGAAATATAACTTTTTTTCGGGCCGGCCCGTGGCTCACTCAGGTGAGTGCAGTGCTGATAACACTAAGGCCACGGGTTCGGATCCCATATAGGGATGGCTGATTAGCTCACTGGGTGAGCATGGTGCTGACAACACCAAGTCAAGGGTTAAGATCCCCTTACCGGTCATCTTTAAAAAAAAAAAAAAAGAAATATAACTTTTTTTCAATCCATCTCTCCCAGAAAAAATATTTTCAAACTGTTAAACTATTTTGTGGCAAGGACCAAATCCAGAGTTTTCCAAAAAAGATGAAAGACTAAAAATATTTCTAGCTTTCTAAGTACCTTAGGGTGTGACACATACACAATGCCTAGTAAATAATAAAACTCCTAAGGAAATAGCCACCTTGGAGAGAAAAGGTGGTCAGGGAACAAAGGATCTGCCTCACAATGTGTGGGGGTAGAATTGGTCTAATGTATTATAGCACAATGGAAACCCATGTTTTTATGGCAGTGATTACACCAGATAATTTCCTGTATCAAAAAGCCAGAGTCAGGGTCGGCCTGTGGCTCACTTGGGAGAGTGTGGTGCTGATAACACCAAGGCCACAGGTTTGGATCCCTATATTGGGATGGCCAGTTAGCTCACTTGGGAGAGCATGGTGCTCACAACACCAAGTCAAGGGTTAAGATCCCCTTACCAATCATCTTTTTTTAAAAAAAGCCAGAGACAGAAAAAAAATTAAAAAGTAGGTCGTTGGATCCCCCAAAATATAATAACCAAAAATAGGAAAAGATATTCAGTCCACTGCAAACCCGGGCATTTAAGAAAAAAAGATATTGACAGAGAATGCCAAGAGCCCAGAGGACACAGTAAAGAGGCACAAAGCATCTTTTCCAGAGACTAGGACTGGGCCCTAATAAAATACTAAAGCAGATGCCTGATGGGAATAATTAACTACTCAGATGAGTGCCCACAGGGTGGTGCCCATTCTCACCAACTCTGTGTGAAGAAAAGTGCACACATGGTCATGCCTCTCTGTTCACTGTAAGCTGGATGTGTGTTAAAAAGATGACAGGACACTGGAGCTTATTTACTTTTGCTTTTTGCCAACTGCACAACGGTAGAATATTTCTAGGGCTCTTAATAGGGGCAAGGTATATTTTGCATGTGGTAGAAATTTATGGTCAGAGAGCAGACTGTGGTCTATTAGAGACTGCTTCAAAGTCTTACATTTCCTCTTATTGAAAGATGGAATCTAATTGCCTTTCCCTTGAATCAAGGCTGGTCTTAGCTATGTGCTTAACTAAGAGAATACACTGGAAGAGATGCTTTGGTATCTGAGTGGAAATAACAAGAATCCTTGCAGCTTCTGCCTGGGCCTCTTGGACAGTTGCTCTGGCAGAAGCCAGACAAACTTGACTACCCTGAGAATGCCACTCTGTGAGGAAGTCCAACATGGCCATAAAGAGAAGGCTGGACATCTGCTCAGTGTTCCCAGCCACTAGAGATTTTCCAGATCAGAGCAGAGACATCATGTAGCAGCCAACCCACACCACCCTGTCCAGCTTACTGATCCAAAACATCATGACATGTAACAAGGAGATGTTCTTATTTTAAGCCATGAAATTTTGTGATACTTTGTTGCACAGCATATCACTGGAACACCAAAAAAAATTAGACACCTAAGGTAGTACGTTTATCGAAACATGAAGAGTATAGGTTCACACTGAATAGTAGATTCAAAACAAAGAAAAGCATTTCACATCTTATGCTAGATCTCAAACTATAATTGTGAATGTAAATGATCAGTTACCTATTTTGTTGATTTTTTTTTTTTTTTTTTTTTTTTTACTGACCGGTGACGGGATCGCAACCCTCGGTGTTGCGCCTGCACCACGCTCAGCCAGTGAGCGGGAACCGGTCTCCACATGGGATCCGAACCCTCGGCGGGACCCAAGCGGCGCACTCTCCAGTGCGCCACCGGGCCGGCCCTATTTTGTTGATTTTTGTTCTTAAATATTAGCTACAGTTCTACTTCAAAAACTTGCCGAAGACTAATGCACATGTCCATTTTTCTCATTCTTTTTTTTTTTTTTTCCTTTTTGTCTTTTTTCGTGACCAGCAATGGATCGCAACCCTCAGTGTTGCACCCGCACCTGGCTCAGCCAGTGAGCGGCCGGTCTGTATGTGGGATCCGAACCCTCGGCGGGAGCGCCGCCGCACTCCCAAGCAGCACACTGTAGCAGTGCGCCACCGGTCCGGCCCTTTCTCATTCATTTTTAAGTAATTATGTGAAATAGGAGAACAAAATACAATCTGTAAGAAAGTTTAAAAACATGATGGGTCTCATTGGACTACAAGCCGATAACTGTATATTAATAAAAACTACAAATAGAATCACTGATGTAAATTTAGAGAAGTAAAATACAGACAGTATGAAAATTCATACTTTCTGTTTTTTATTATTTCCATGTCTTTTTATTGACCATTGTTCAAACATGTCCCAGTAACTCCCGAAGGCTTTCTCCCCATGGACTCTTTACCATGTCACCATGGGTGGTGGATAGAAGCATAGGTCACCAGGGATTGAACCTCTTAGCCCAGCAAACATTACCTTCAGGTTTTTACAAGAATGATATTTCCAATGGAACAAAGTTAGTCTTTATGAGTAACAACATCTTCCCCTATACTGGCAGTGTATATAGAAATTAGAATAAAATGAAAAGACCAAACAAACGAAAGTAGCAGGAAGTAACACAAGATAAAATTAGGCCCAAGAAACAGGGAGGAGTCCAGGAGAAAACTCGTTTTGGTGGCCTGTGTCAGTGGCTGGGTGGTAGTGAAAACACATATAAGAAAACAGGGGGAAGTCATTTTAATTTTAGATTTGTTGACATTAAGGTATCTTTTTTTTTTTCCTGGCAGCTGGTTGGGGCAGAGATCTGAGCCCTTGACCTTGGTGTTAAAACACCATGATCTAAACAACTGAGCTAACAAGTCGGCTACTTGAGCTGCCTTTTAAATAGCTACAAACAAACATTCAACGGAGATCAACCTATGATCAAAAGACTAGGGAAGAATTACAACCTGGAGAGTAAAAAGAGTGCAAACTACAAGAACTGAATCAATAAAAAATAATTTCACATGAGAAGAACAGGGCCCAGGATGAAGCACTTTGATAATCTATGTTATAAAGAAGAAAGTAGAAGTATTCAGGAGAAAAGAGCAAAAATCAGTGAAGTCATGAGAGAAACTGATAAACTAACACAGAGGAATTTCCAGGAGAATATCATGAAGAGTAGTTCAAAATGCAGCAGAATACGCATTAGACAAAGACTAGAGAATAATCATTGGATTTGACTATGATTTAGGTTATAATTCTAGGTTTTATCCATGAATCTAGTACAGTCTTCCAAAACCATCTGACACTCGATTTATTTTAGAAACTTTATAAAAAGCTTACTAAGCAACTTGTGCCTTAGAACTAGGTAACTATTTCCACTGCAGAGAGAGAGAAATGTTGATTTCCAGGGCAGCAGTGAAAAACTACCTAATAGCGATGGTGTTGCAGAATTTGGTCCCACCAAGTCTTCATATCCCAAGAGAATTTGGCAGATTCTCTTCTCAGGTTCCATTTCAGTCATGTAAAGAACTTTTCTTCCTTTTTTCAATGACATCAGAAAGACCAGAGACAGATTTTTATTCAACTTAGATGACTCTGAGTTCTTACAAATGGATCTATCTACATGCCACTTTTCTTTCGAGTTGAGTTTAACTCATTTGTACTTTTCAATTTTAATCTACGTATTCCATAAAGCTCACATAATACAATAAAAAAAGAGTACTAAATAACCATAATACTCACCAGAGATTTATTCACCTTTTGTTGCTCTTGTAAACCCATAGTGCACTGTGGCAGCATAGCTAGGAGAAGAGAGAGTAGAGTGGATTAAGAAGAGAACTGTTATGGCTTGGATCTAGAGTCTCCTTTCCAAAACTCTCTACTTATTAGCTGAAAAAGACAAACAAAAAAGCCTTCCTGTGAGAGAACGGTCCTTCATACCTCAATAGAATAATGATCCCATTTAAAATGTAGCTACAAGTACATTAATAGCTGCACATTACACACAGTATTTATTTTTGGGTTAATGAAAACATATATAACCTACTGACTTAGCACAAATCAATACTACCTAAATATATAACTTAATAACTTAAACCAAAGAAAAACACATTGTGACATCTCTCAAATTAGTGTTACAGAAATAGTTTGGCTATATTAACTGCTACCCCATTAATATATTAAATTCACACGACTCCAAAAAAGTGTTTCTATTACAACACATCTTCCTTTTATGTACCTAAAATCTGGATAGCGTACATCCTGCAACCCAGCACATTTTGCCTATGATTATATAGGTAAGCAAAAGACACATAATGTACATTTCTTCTGATCTTCCTGTACCCAAGCCCTCATATAGCATGCTCTGACAATAAACTAGTCTTTGTCATGTGATCTGCTTTGGACTGCGGCACATTAGAAAATGTCACGTAAACATAGGTTTGAAAAGTACTGGCCATTGGTGTTTCCCTCTTAAACACAGTCATACTGTGAAGAAGACTGGGGAGACACAGGGCCCAGCCAAGGGTCAGTGCAAACCACAGGACATGTGAGTGAAGCCATCTTTAACCAAACAGCCTCAGTCAAGATACCAGGTGACTAAATCCACATCTGTAATCAAGGGAAAACTAGAATGAGAACTGCCCAGCAAAATGCAGCCCAAGATGTGGATCCGTAGAACTTCAGAAAAATAAGACGGCTGGGTTTTTTAAGCCAATGGGGGTTTGATTTGTTTCTTACACAGCAAATGCTGAATGATACGTCTACATCCCCAAAACTCAAAACATACTTAACAAAATTACGTGGGGGAGAAAGTCTTAAATTACAAGTCAAATACAATCAATACAAGTTGCAACCACTGGTAGAAGTTTTGAAAATCACAGTGAATGTTAACTACATGTACTTCAGTGAGGTTTCTAACCCTAATAGAGGCTATGTAAGTCATAAAAAACAATTATTAGCATATCAGTAAACTAGGTTGTAACTTTTGTTTTGTATTGTTTTTTACATCACATACAAGTGGTTTACTTTAATAACATACAACATAAAAAGTATGTTTCTTATAAGTGAGTAATGCACTGTACCAGTGTACTTTCAACAGTTTGGGTAAAAATAGAATGAAAAGAGAATAGAAATCTTTCCATGAACTTTTTTGAAGCACACTAGCATTTTAGTTACATTTAAGGAATTGGTTTTGAGTAGAAGGGAAGTGCAGTATAATTTTCCCATTTTTAAATAAAGTAAAATTACCTCCAATATATTCCTACAAAAGTTATGATTTTAAAGAATAGGTTACTGACATTAAGTGGTAAATACATACATTATTTACGCTTTGAGGTGACATAATCCAAAGAATGTACTGGAGTTAAAAAAGGATAGGGTTGTTTAAGGTAATGTATGTTAAAGCAATGTTTGCTCTAAGTTGACTTCAGCATTAGAAAAATAATTTCAAATGTGAACAAACACTTGTTTTGACTTAAGTGTGACAAAATGGAAAATGCTAAACAAATAAGTCGGATGTCTAACATCAACAAATCATGTGACCCTGGGCAACTCACATTTCCTCATATCCAATTTTCACTTTTCTTATAGGGTAGAAATATGGGGAAAACCATTCCCCAATGACCAGAAAAGAACTATGAAGACATTGATCCATCAGCACATCTCTAGGTGCCAAATTTGGTGACAGGCTGGGTTTGAGAGAGTTCAGACACTGGGAACAATGAAGGAAGATTGAAGGAATGGGAGTGTGGTCAGAGAGCACTACAGACAGGTTCTCTCAGCTGTGGCAGGTTATTCCTGCACCCCACAGAACACCTTCAAACCCTCTTCAATAAGTAACATCTCCTAGGTCCTTGCCTCTCTTAGTCTGATTCATCGCTCCCTTCTGAAAGTTGGTCCAAACCTTCCAATATCACCCAGTCTCAAAGAGCTACTGCATGAGGTATTATCAGCCAACTCTGGTGCACTAAGTACTAGACACAGTTATTGCTTAGGTTGTGCAAAGCTAGGATCTTCCCCTTTCTGGGACTGAAGCAGTGCTGAGAGTGTTCCGGTCACAATGATGTTCTTCCAGGTGGGACTGTTACTCACAGGACGCCCTCTTTCTAAGTTTGTCACATCTCCTTCACTCCAAAGAAAACAGGAGCAAAAACCAATGCCCTAATCTCCATCCTAGAAGTCACTGTCCTGGAAACAAGACAGTGTATCAATTTCTGTAAACACAAACCTGGAGCGCTAGGCAGGCTGCACAGTGCAGGAGGGACCAGAAACTTGGCTTGCTGAAGAGACAAGACACCCCACAACCACAACAGCCAAAGAGTAACAGTGTGCACACACCTCACAATTATTTCTCTGGGAATGTGCGGACATTACGCTAATATCAACACGCTCATGTCACAGATGGGTAAAGTGAACGTCCCATAGGTCGGTACCAGGCTCCCTGATGGCGAAGCTGGACCTCCCGGGCTCGCTGTCTTCACACACCCCCACCCACGTTCCTGTGGCCACCTTGGACTTGAGCCCCCGTCCTGGGACATCTGGAACCCGCTTCCGCACACCCGGCAGCGCCCTCCTCTGACGGAGCCGTCCTGGAAAGCGCAGCCCGGGCGCCCCTTCCCCGGCCCGGCCCAGGTCCGCGCTCGCGCCGCACGTCCAGCCCCGCCCGCCCGAGGCCCGCGGCGCTTCTGCCCAACAAGTGCCGGGACACCCGTCCCGCTCCCCAGTGTCCCCTTAGACCCGCGGGCTCCACTT